TCCCTCTAGCCAAGAAACCTGTGTAATAGATTCACCTTAGGATCACCATAAGTCAGAAATAACTTGAAGGAACACAACAGCAATGTTTTTCTTTTGCAAGCACTGACAAAGCCTAGCTAATTCTCATTTTCTTTGTTTTCATAGAATTTTATGTACATTGTCCAGTGTCCTTCTTCTTTTGACGTTGAACTAAGACTGGGGTCGGTGAATTTTCTTTCATTGTGAATGGGTAGAAGAGATCCTCAATTCTAATCAGTCAAACAGCAGAGGCAAGGTCTTAAACCCCACCCACAAGTGATGTTCATCGTCTTGCATTTCCAAACCCCACAAGCTCTTTTTGGATCAATGACAGAAGTATGTGACAAGTGCCATATATGCTTTGACCTAAAATGTTACAAGCAGAGAGCAAACTCTCAGGCTACCCCTGAATATGTGTCTTGTGGATAAAGGAGTGTGTGTTGGAAATAGATACTCATGAATTATTCCATGATGTTTAACTGGAGTCTTCAGAATAAATTGTGTCTTGGAAAAAGTTTTGTTGTTGTTGTGTACCTTCAAGTCGTTTCCAACTTATGGAGACCCTAAGCAACCCTTTTGTTCAGAAAGAGGCTTTTTGTTGCCTTAATTGCTGACAAAGCAACTTTAACTTATGGTGTCCCTATGAATAAGAGGAGAATCGATGTGGTGTAATGGTTTGGGTGCTTGACTATAACTCTGGAGACCAGAGTTCAAATCCCCACTTGGTCATGGAAACCCACTAGGTGACCTTGAACAAGTTACATTTTCTCAGCCTTGGAGTAAGGCAATGGTAAACCCCCTCTGAACAAATCTTGCTAAGAAAAAAAAAATCATAGGTTTGTCATTGAGAAGCAACAGTATCTGGAACAGTTGGTTGTTATGGTGAAGGGTTTGTTTACATGAAGATAAAAATATTTTTAATATTCCAGAAATTGCAGGGGGTAGGGAATAAAGAGCCTTATCCACTTTGGCTAGTCATCCGTTCCCTCTTTCATGTGAAGTAATGTAGGATTTAGTCAAGGAAACCATGACCCTGAGTTTGCAAGAAGCGAGCAGGGCAGTTTGGCGAACCTTGGTCTCTTATTCATAGGATCACCATAAGTCAAATAATAACAAAGGGTGGCTGTGGCTTGTGACCGGGTATGCAGAAAAATCACTTTGCATAATTTTGGATCTGCTTAAATGTGGATTTTAACTCATATTAACTTTAATTAGTATTCCTGTTGCCTTACCTATACTCTCTCCCATTTCTGTTGTTCTGTTGGATGTGCAGTATTGGATCCTCCTCAGTTTTTCAGTTTGCAGAGGCGTCATTGCAAGACTGTCTGGAGATAACTCTAGATCAGATATTTGTAATTGCACAAATCTTATCATGCTGTATTCAGTGGGTAACATCATGTATATGTGCCCATGATAAAATAAGAATTACAAGAGCCTAAAATATGACCTGAACGTAGGCACCTGCAGTTGTTTTGGCTTATTATTTGTTACTCACTTTTTGATGTGAAAGGACTGTAGAAGCAGAAATTCTTATGCATGTCTGGGTCATAACTTAGTTACTGTAGGTTGAGGCAGATGCAAATAAATTGAGGCCTGGCTATCATAATTGTCTGTCATCACTTTAAAATGTGCTCTCACTCACCTTGAGTGACCTGGTAAGTAGCTATTTACAACCTTGTTTTAATGAATGCACATACATGAGGAAGTATTGTGTTTCCTTCAATGTTATCTCTTCAGTAGTCAGTGCATTCTTGCTGAGGCTGTAATTTGAAGCTGCTAAAGTTTAGGCGTGCCTAATTCCTATTGCCCAGTTGTCACACATTGTCTGTACTAAAATACAAATCTAAAATGCAGTTACATTACATAGCACTTGCCTTACACATTGTATTTCACCCACATGGCATAGAGTTCTTCAATTTCGGTTGTGGGATACCCTTGTTCTACAATAAAGAAAACCTCTCCAAAGACCTAAAAATATCTATTGATGTGTCACCACATGCTGAACAAGCTTAAGACAGGTATGGGGAACAAGCAACATTGCAGATGTTTGACTGTATTTCCTAGCTTTCTTTGTCTGAGCTCTGTTGGCCTGAGCTGATGAGACTTGCCCTTAAACAGCATCTGGAAGACCATGCGATTCCCAGCCCTGGATGATGCTACACTTGCCCATTTTTGTTTCATGTTTGAGCTTTTACTATAACAAGGAAAGCATCAACATCTACATACTGTATATCCAACAGTGTAAAAAAATAATAATCCTTATTTTCAACCATTCCCTACACTGTACAATGTAATGTAGGGCCTACAGCTTTGTTCAGATAAGGTATAGAAAAAAACAAGAGACAAAGTTTGTGCCAACTTGTTTTTGTTAACCTAAGTTTTGTGGCACAGTAAAAACACTTTAGACCCTCACAACTTTGAGTATCTTGTATATATTAGATAGGAACAATGCCAGTTAAGTCCATTTCAATTCCAGGTTGTAATATAGCAAAACCTGGACAAACGAAAGGGATATGTGTATAATACTGCAAAACTGTAAATAATACAGTCATCCCCCATGCTGCTTCTGATGTTTAAAAGTGCTGTAGATGCTAGTTATGGTGTTTTAAGTACTGCACACAGAAATGCCTTCAGAAATACTGATATTCTCTCTCTCTCTCTCTCTCTCTCTCTGTGTATGTGTGTGTGGAGTTTATTTGAATCTCATGTCATACTTTTTAACATTTAGTTGTGAAATAGAATGATATCTGGAGGTTGGATAGTGCTTATAAGTATCTTATTCTTTGGCTAGCTTGTGTTTTTGTTCTGCTTTTTTCTTCTAACACAGTTTTCTTTACATTTGCATTCTTTCTGTGAATTTTTAGTGAATTTGGTGGTGAAATGCAACCAGAATGACAATTTTGGATATTCAGCCCTTCTGTCCATGGAACAGGTACAGCAGTGACAACAGTAGTTGAACGGTGAGTTCACACAGTATGATCCTCACCTAATAGCAGCAATCTTTTAGTGATCTGAAGATGATGATAAAAGAATTGCCTGTTAACCCCCATAAGAAACTGTCACATAAGAGGAAGTTATTCGTCTCGGGTGAATACCTGGGACTCTTCCATATAGATATCCACAAATTATATCAAGACAGATGTAGCAAAAATGCCTCTCAACACATACTGTCTATCTTTTCATCCAGAAAGTAGTAGAGTCCTCCTCTTTCAAAAAGTCAGATAGCATTTCTCCTCTTAAGCTTGAGTCTGTTGCAAATGTGAAAGAGCTTTGTTGTAGGTCTGAGTGCCTTTTTTGTTGTTTTGGCAATTTAGATAGTACAGATTGAATCTCCCTTGTCCAAAATGCTAAGGACTAGTTGGACTTTGGAATAATAATAATAATAATAATAATAATAATAATAATAATGATGGAATACCTGTATTTTCATATATGTACGTAATGATATATTATGGAGATGGGACTTAAGTCTAGACACAACAATCATTTATGTGCACATAGCCTAATAATTTTATAAATTATAATTTAGAAATTATAATAATTTCATAATTATAATTTTATAATAATTATAGTAATTTTATAAATTATAATTTAGAAATTATAATAATTTCATAATTATAATAATTTTAATAAATTACTAATAATGTAACTTTATACAATATTTTAAATAATTTTAAATAATTTTGTACATAAAACAAAATTTGTGTACCTTGAAGCAGCAAAGGTGTCACTATCTCAGCCACACAAGTCATTTCTGCTAGCAAGCATTCATCCAATTGAATCAATGTCAAGCTCATGGTGTAGTGGTTAGAGAGTTGGACTATGGCTCTATTGCATGTATGTGTCTTTTAGTAGTGAAACAATTTGTTCCACCCTTATCCCCCCTCCATATGGTCTTTGCTGTACTCTTCAGTGGGGTACTTCAGACCTGAACCTTGGAGATGCTCTTTGAGATACCTGCAGACTAAAGGGCTGTGCCAGCACAAAAGTATTCATCGAGCTTTGTTTCAGTGAAATACTTCAACTCTGATATTTACATTTGGTCTTTGTTGCACTGTTCAGTGCCGTAGTACATTGTCTCTAAACTTTGAAATGCTGCTTAGGATCTAATATGGTGATCCCAGGTTTGTTAGTAGGAGTGCTGATGACAGCAGATCTCTGAATTTCAAATCAGATTAGCAGTTCAGATCAGGTCTAAATCAGTCTGGATTCAAATTGGAGCTCTAAATTGAATTGCAGGATTGTTCGTTCTGTGCCTCCAGGTCATTTTTGACTTATGGTGACCCATAGAAAATCCACCAAACAGTGATACCTTTATTGGCCAACCAAAATGCACAATACACTTATTGCAAGCTTTCAAAGCTCCACAGGCTTCTTCATAAGGCAAGATGTTACAAACCAAAACAGGAGAGAAATTGGAGATGTTAATAAGATGCCTGCATTTTGATGTTTCTGTCTTTAGTTAAGATGCTATATTTCAGGCTGGCTCCTCCTTCTGGCCATGTGGTGATTGGGAGATATTCAAAGTCCAGGAAATTTAAAGTCCATTTCCATATGCTAACATCTCCAATTTTTCTCCTGTTTTGGTTTGTAACATCTTGCCTG